GCTTGGCTTTGCGGACGCTTGCCGGTCTTTTGAACCAATTGAAATTTCAGAAGCGTTTCGCTGTAAGTGCTGCGATACGGCAATATTGGCCAAAGAATTGGCCATATTAGCAGCGACATCTCCTGTCGTCTGGTCCTCGCTCAGTCCAAGGAACGCGATGATGGACGGTATGGTGTATTCTACGCGTAAATTGTGAGACTTAATCTTGATAGTTGGATCCATCTCATCAGCGATGTAGCGAGCCATCAGTATGGGAAGTTGGCTCTGGTTCTGACCCTGGCTCCCGCTCGCCGGTAGTGCTTCACCCACGAGCTCCTCGCTCCCGTTTCGGACAACTTTGATTGTTCCCAGTTGCGTAGCGATGAGAGACGGCATGCTGATATAAGCAGCTTCGGCGTTTCCGAGATACGTCGTGATATTTCCGACAGGGCCACCCAGGTAGACTTGAGATTCAAGTTCTCGAATGAGAGAGAGAGTGAGGATGCCTGGGCGATCATCTTCGGGGAGATACTTTGCGACGGTAGATAACCTGCCCAGTTCCTCTCCAAGCTGAGAAAGTGACTCGAGGTCACTGGTGCGCGAGACGACGATCTTCGCACCCGCAACTGTAGTACGAAGAACGGAGCCTTGTCTACGCTGGCGGAACAGCGTGTCTAACATAATGTCGTCGTCTTCGTCATACTTATCTTTCGACGGTGTTATTATGGCCAGTAGCCGGTCCAGATCGGGTTCCTTTGGGGAGTAGAGATACTCCACGCGGATGTTGCTCAGGTTGATTTTTGCCGGCGCATCTCTTGAGTCGTCAAGAGGTAATGGCCCACTCAACTTGGCTTTGTCAATCTGCACGCCTATACCCTCAAATCGGCTGACAACCTTGACGGCTGTCGTTTTCAACCTGAGATAATGTGTCTCACCGGCAACATCAAGAACGATTCCACCGATTCGAGCATTCACCTTCCAGGGGAGTCGGGGATTGGCTTGAATGTTATTCTCAGGCGGCGGTGAGCTCTCGAAATGAACGCCACGAGCCCGTCGTGGAGAATCCTTCTTCATGTTTCTACCGGTGGAGACAGAAGAGATTGAATTTCCGAGCTCCAGGATAGTACTGAGGCCGCCAACCCGCCCGACGACTTCCTCCAGGCGCTGAACATTAAGATATAGCCGGAGCGGAAGAGTTGTAATGGTGAGGCTTGCACAGTCGGAAGACTTGGTCAGAGAAAGAGAGAAATCACCATTCACAGGTGATAGGACATCTCTTGTGGACTCCCGCATCTTCAAGCTTTCACTGAATGAGATCAAGTCATCCGAGGCGAAGCCAAATACGAACTTTGAGACGTCTAGGCCAAACTTTGTAACATTTTTATCAGCCAAGTAGCGGGCTGTTAGACCTGATGCCGTCGCTCGTAAAATGATATCTTCATGGGGCAAGCCAAAAAGTGACGAGGAATGGGGGTCATAGTCGCCTAGACCATACGTTTGACCGGGAATGTGATCAACGTATTTGATGCAAAACTTATGGAGAGTGAGAGCGAGACGGTGCCGGGCCTGCACAGGTTCTGGAGCGGGCTTTGCACTGGAAATATCCCCGCCGTTACCACCAAAGGCATGAAGAACCCTTTGGCCGGCCTTGACAACAAGCCACCCAGTCGCATTATCGAATCGTACATCTACAGATGATATTTCGACAGCAATGTCACCCGGCTGAGATTTCGAGATGGGATCTTGGTCGGCCTTGTTTGCTTGACGATGCGGCGATCTGGGCAGGGTGCCCTCGGATGAAGCGGCTGAATTGATCGAGTCGCTGCGAAGCCGTGCGGAAGCATACATGGTGGAAGAGAGCAATTCGGATCCGGCTGACGAATGACCAGAACGCATTGCAGAGTCTTTCAGGCTGTCACTTGCTGAATTTACGTCTGCTGAACGGACAGTCTCATCCGCATGACGTCTATCTTCATCAACAGGGATCGATATCGATATTCGATCAATACGGAGAAACCGCTTGGCAACATCTGAAAGCTTGCTCAGCGTAGGCGAGAACGGTGTTAAATCAGGTTCCCGTGCCTCAGACGGGCACTCACTTTGTTCGCCGAATGATCTTTTCTCTGTAAGGGTCGAGGCTGACTGAGCAGTGAGCTTTGGTGTAGATATAGACGTTTCGTCTTGCACATCCTGTTTCGCACTTGCCGCGTCTGTTGGCCCTGTGCCTGCGTGCACATCTCGTACGACTGTTGACTCCGGCAGATCCCAAGCGCCTGGTATATTGGGAACGAAACTTCTACTCGAACCTTGACTGATAGCACTCATGTACATACTCTGAGCCTCTTCATTGGAGAACAACTTGGACTCAGAAAGTTCGCCGCCATTGGCAAAATCAGATGAGCCCACGCTACCAGCTTCCGAAGGAGACGCTGTTTGCCTGTCTGAAGTTTCTCTAGAGTGTAAAGATCCTGGAAATGAGGGGGCATCATGTGACACATCCCGAGTTACGACGTGAGCAGTCTCGAGGTAAGGTTGACTGCCGTGTGGGGATCTGTCCATGAAGGACCCATCACCGTAATGTGAGAAGGGGGCTGAATGGTGCGTGTCAATGTCTGACGGTGGAGTCTCGCGGTGCATGTGCACCTCAGGTGTCTTAGGGCGCGGTGTTTCACTGCTGGGAGGAAATTGATCATCTTGAGGCACGAGGTCCTCTGGTGGCTCTAGATCATCGTCATGCAACTGGGAGTCAATGACGGAGTCAAGATATGCAGGGTTGTCTAATAATTTATCATCGTCCAAAAACTGCTGCGAGTCTTCCAGATATCCATCACTTCGATTTTCATTGTCGGTATCGGCATCGGAAAACCGCCCATCGTACGTGTAGGCGGATCCTTCCATTCGACCCACACCGGGTTCTTCTATATCCTGAATTGAATGTTCTTGCGGTGGCTCCAAGATTGTCGATCGCGCCATAGCTAGGACAGAGTGCGCGTCCGATGCGTGCCCGGGCAAGGGTGACGGAATCCTGCTCGAAGGCTCGCTTGACTTTGGCTGCACGGGTGTAGTCGGCGAAGCGGGCGGAGCGAATCGGGAATAGTTGGAGAAAACTATCGGTTCGGATATCAAAGCCATATTGATGTCAGAAATAACGATGGGCCGGTTCCGATTACGAGAATGCTTCTCTTCCTCAGGACTGGACGTTGTGCTGCTCACGGCACCAACGGAGACCTCTCGCACAGTAAGAAGTCCCGTCACTATATCAGGTTTATTCTCCGGTTCTCTCTTGACGACCCCCTCCTGCTTCGTTTCCATATCGACTCGTATTGAAACATTCTCGACCCTGACCTGCAGGCGCTCCGCGACTCCCTTCAAAAAAGCAGCAACAAAACTGGGCAGCGATACCCCCTCGTTTCCTAGACCAAGCTCTTCCTCATCGTCGCTGATGGACGCTGATGTACGGTGCAGCACCTGTGATCGAGACGTGATAGCAGCTTGTAACTCCTCCTTTTCCTCTTTCGGTTCGGCATCGAGGAACGACTCCGCAAGATCGGCCGGAGTCGGAAGAATGTGGTCGCCACTAGCGTCATGGCTACCAGCTTGAGATGGCCTACGACTATTCTGATTTCCGTCCTTTGCTGCACTGAAAGATTCTTCTGATGGTAGTCGGAGATGCACATCGATTCCGCTAGCCTCGCAGATGATACCGCTACTGTAGATATCCGCAGGGACGGTGATCTTGAGAAACTGGACCTTAGCGCTCAGCAGTTCACTCGAGGCAGGGAGCTGAAGAAGTGTTGCTAGTTTCTGTTCAAAAAAAATACCATAGTTGTTAGCTATACATCGTCCACTGAGCTCAAGCCGGGTGGAGCTGTCTAGTAGTATGGGATGTCTGCCGACGATATAAACTCACCTCAAGCCTCAAGCCTATATCCCGAAGTTCGACAGTGCTTCGTTGGCCCCATCGGATTCCCAAACTATCTAAATCTAGTGCTTCGGTGTCGACAAGCTCGAGCCGAGACAAGGCATATCGGAGCAACCGTTTCTGGAAGAATGAGGGCAAGAAGTAAGCCATCTTGGGCGAAACGAGCCAACCGGCGGCTCATCTAGGAGTTTCGTGTGTCATTTCGGAGCAGGGACATAATAATGAAGATGATCGTGTTGAAGACAGTTCTGTAAATGGAGGATCTCGCAAAGGCGAGAGTTACGCGGAGGGTTGATGATTGATTGATTGATACTGTAGGATGAATGACGTTCCGGGGCGCTGATAGCACCGCAATAGTCAGGTGGAGCTAAGGCGGAGCCAAATCACACTAACAACGTGCGTGTTTGTTGATGGTTCCCGGAGATACTGAGTTGTCTAAAACCCTTTCCTTCTAAACAAAGATTGTAAGCTGTGTGAGGGTGTTGAAAAGCTCTCTGTAATAATACTATTTTGCCTCTCAATAGTGGCAAGTGATGTCGACTCTACGGAGTAACCCCCCAAGACCCTTGCCCATCTCTAGTTCTCGGACACGCCAAGGATTAAGATGCCTGGGGAACATGGCATGTTATACCCGTTTGGGCCAAGCACCAGGCTATCCCATATCAGCTCCCCGACATCCTGTGCTGTGACTCAGAGACGAAATAGAACCATTAAAGTGGCGTAAGCGCCCAAAGGTATATTTTTTAAAAGGTGTCCCGCATTCCTCACATTTTGAGCTGGCTCACGAATTACTGAATTCTCCTTTTTCTTCGCTGACATTGTCCTCTTCATGATCACGTGGTCATGGTGACTTCATGGGTATACGAATTACATTCAAGCCCTATCTCAAGCTTGTGAAAGGGTGAAACATGCCGTTGAGTAACTCGCTTGAATGAAAGCGGTGACAAGGATCTGGACCCTCAGAGCTCTTAATGGCATTACTTAGGAGATTGAATCCACAGGCTTATTTAACAGCTCATCACGTCAAAAATCGCAAAATGAATATGATAAAAATACAGTTCCCATAATTTGCAGGCAATAGTGAGGACGCATCTCATCTTCACTGACTAAGGTACTTGCCCTCCTCCGTAATCAGCAGACCCGCGATAGCCGCACTGGTAAAAGTAGCCAGGGCGCCGGTAATCATGGCACTAACTGCAACACGGGAAACATCGCCCGCACGTTGGGGGGCGAGTTGATTGAGCACACCGATTTGGTTACCCAGGGAGCCGATATTGGCGAAACCGCAGAGAGCATACGTTGCGATGATCTGAGAGCGGACGGAGAGTTCCTGATACTCGGGCTTGGTTTGAAGGTCGCTATAGGCGACGAATTCATTCTGAAGATGATTGAGTTAGTGACTGGTCCCCGCTAAAGGTGACCGAAGGGTGGGAGGATATAATCTTACCATGACAAGCTTCACACCGATCAGTTTGCCCACTTTGAGCAGATCTCCGTCGCGGGAGACGCCGAGGAGGAAGGCAATAGGATAGCAGATGTACCCAAGAATCAGGTCGAGGGTCAAGGGGGGGTCGTTGATGTTGAGGTAACGTCCCCACCAGGTCAACAAACCGTTGATCAAGGCAACGAAGGAGATGATACAGAGGAGGGTCGCCCCAATCGTACCCGCGATCTTGATGCCGAGCCAGGCACCGTTGGCGAAAGCGTGAAGCGCATTTTCAGCCTTGTGTTCCTCGTCCTCGGGCACGACGACACGGCCAGCCGTCAGAGTTTCTTCCTCCTCAGGCCAACGCAACTTGGATGCGGCCAGAGAAGCAGGGATACTCATCACACACGAGGAAACCAGCGCTTGAGGGTTAACGCCCATTCCAATATAGGCGACCAGCACGGAGCCTGCAATGGTAGCGAAACCGGAGCACATCACCTGGTGGATTTCGGCCATGGTAAGGTGCGCCACGAAGGGTTTGATAAGCATGGCCGATTCACCTTGTCCGATGAAGGGGGAGGCAGCAGCCACGACGGCCTCGGCGCCAGAGACCCGCATACTCCAGAAGAAGAAGACGGCGAATTTACCAATAGCCCACTGCAGGACGCCGGAGTAGTACAGAAGCTGCACAAGAGATACGAAGAAGATGATAGCCGGGATGACGGTCACCAAGAACCACGTGTGCTTGCTTGCGAAGCCAGGCTCCGTCAAGAAATCAACGCCGTCGTCGGCAAAGCCCAGCAGCTCTCTGGCCAGCGTCGAGACGAAGTTGAATATGTCGTAACCCGCCTTGGTACGAAGCACAAAGAGAGCAACAATGAACTGCACCAACATTCCTACAATGACGGTGTGCCAGACGATCTTCTTGCGGTCTCTCGACGAAAGCCACAAGGCGAAGACGAAGACGACAAGGCCGAAGAGACTGACAGCTCTGTTGGCTCTGGTGTTATCGGCGGTCTCTTCCGACGCAAAGGAGCCGACGAGAATGACCGCAATGGTCAAGAGCGCCGCGCCGGGAATCCTCAATTTCTCGGGGATCAGGCGAACGAATGGCCGAGCGGTATGGTCCCAGACCCAATAGGCCGGCCTGGTCACGATGGACACGGGCACGTAGAGGGTAAGAAGCCGCAAGGTGATGCACAGATACAGCAGGAACGGGATGAGCCAGCCCAAGTCATGCCGATGGAGGATCAAACCAGCAATCCACCATCTATAGGGACGACAACGGATGAGTTTCGATTTTGATCAAACAGGACTGCCAGAAGATGCGGTGCAGTCGAAAGGGAAGACAACTCACCCGGTGAACAAAAGCCACACGACAGCGTACACGACATGCTTGGTGTACTTACTGTAGCGGCGATAGAAGGGCCGCGATGGATAGCTTTCACCTGCTTCCTCGAGATCTTTCGAACTCTGGCTATGAGCGTGTTTGTCCTCCACAGTCGGGTCGTGGACCAGGCCTTTGACATCTTTGGCATAGATCACATCTTCTTCTGGACCCTTCTCGGCCAGTCCCGAATGGTGGGGATGACCGTGGTGATGTTGATTTGTGGGATTCAGCGCAGGATCTGCATGTCGCATTGTCTCGTGGGGAGATGCCTCGTTCACCTCCATAGCCTTGTCATCCGCCATTTGTGGTCCCGTTCCTATTGCACAATCACTAATTCCAAGAATGCGACAACCTTTCAGGGTGTCGAAAACGTCTTATCCGGAGGAAAAAGACGCGAACCTCTGAAAAGGATGGAGGGAGGAGAATTTGGCGGCAACCAAGTCAATTTAACTTCGGATGGGGCTGGAGATAGCTGTCGGATAAGATGGAGAGGAGAAACCGAGAGAGGAGACAAAACTCTCTTTTGAAGCCAACAAAAGACGAGCGTTGCGCCCGGATTCCAATTGATCGACTAGGGTTTCTCTCTTATCAGACCAGCAGGTGCGGGGAGATTACACAAGTTGCATATTCCAGCAAAGTGTGAAATTAGCCACTCCAGCGGTCCAATGGATTCGTTGATCCGTCCTGGGTTTGGAGATACCCTTGAGCAGGAAAGATAGAATGTCTTAGTGCTCGACGCCGACAAGGATCATGATAGAACAGGTGAGAAAAGTGAAAAGAAAATTCTCTGAAGGGCTACAGTTGCTCGCCTTGGTGGCTAAGGAACCAAGTATAGCCGTGCATCAAGCCAAGGTCGAGGCGTCTGGTTACTTATCTTTTCGCCCCGATAATATTTTTCACTTTTCAGCAGTGTAGCGAATGAAGACCCAACGATGCCCTCGACGGTCGATAAGACTTTCCGGTGTTACAGCACTAAAAAGGACATGGGCCGAAGTCTGGAGGAAATTCTGCAAGGAGATTGGCGGCTGATCAGCGAGTGTAGCCGTGACCCGCGCTTTTTTTCTCCGCTCCGTCCTCACGCGGTTCCTCGGTCGTGTGCCTCATGCCTTTTGACGGTATTCAGTACAAGTTCTTGGTATTCATTTACCGTGCATTCGGGAGCCTGACTCGCTGTTAACATTGGTTTCTACGGGCCGATATACTACAGAATCTAAGGATACATTTACTGCGACACTTGCCACACAAGCTGGCAGTATATCTCATCCTGACGTCGCGTTAAACTACCGAGGATTGCTTTTTATTGTGCTTGTGGGAAATAACCGTTTACTGGTGAACTGTGGACATTGACTGGGCTTAAGGGCTAAAGCTTGTGGGGTCTTCCAGCTAAAAATTCTACCCGCCACCCTCAGACAACTATGGATCAAGCTAACTACACTATGTCGCAGAATGGCTTACGGCGCCCCGGGAAAACAGCAGAGAACTGAAAAAGAAAAATAGAACAGTCTAGGAAAAGCCCCAGTGCGTCGAATCATAAGTTTCCATGACACCTCGATAGGCTCGTTTACTGGGATAGGTATTTTATGCCCGACACTAACTAGGTCAAGTATTGCCCGCAGTTACTCCGTGAGACTGCTGGTTCGATCTCGGAATGTTCTCAATTCCTGATGATAAGCTTGCCCTTTCTTTGTTATCATCAACTCTGCGAAAACAGGCTGAGTTGAGTGTATCTGTATTATCCCTGTCAGCCATTTAACTTTAGTATTGTGCCACCTTGGCACGTGAACACCTGCAATATAAGATCGGAGATCTCCGATGAAATACAGCTTCTCAGTGAGGTTGGAGCTGAGAACTGAGACTACTACTCTGCCGATGATTGCCCTTGATCCTTTGTGCACTCTTAGTCGAGGAGCAGTGTGTTACAGCTTATCGTCTTCGAGTCCCTATGATAAGGAATACTGATAGCAATCGAGAAAATATATAGTACCAGCTGTTACTGTGGTGCTGTCAAAACCCTAGGAATTCTTTGACCCATAACGGGTGGTCCCAGGTTTGCATTATTATTAGATAAGCTCCAGACCCGCGAGTTGGCGAAGTGGAATCTATTAGCTCCCTAGGAAGTTGGCCTCGGGCTGAGCGAGATTACGGGCAATCTCATTTTGCCACCCCGGATTCTGTAGTCATTACGTACCATCCTGGAGGGTATCTGCCACGTGTTTCTCCAGCTTTCAAGTTACCATGGAGTATCACTATCCAAGGTTTGTTTGAGGTTGAATGCTGTGAATTGGCTCGAAGCTAGCATGGAACTCCGACGGGGGATAGTGCTTAACGGACGGCGAATCATGGAATCCCCGGGAAACTCAGGCCGAGGTGTTCTACTCAAATAAGTACTCCGTAGCGAGACACAACACATTAAACTCAACTTTCCTGGTGATGGACGAGACCGTTACATCGCTTCTTATTGAACATGGATCACGTGGAGATATATACGAGATTATTGATCCATTGAACCGCTCACGCAGGTCTAAGTTAAGGTTGGAATCTTGAGGATCCTCATCGAGATGACAAAAACGGCCTCAGGCCTTACATTGGCCGTGATGGCTGGGGTCCAGAGTGGGGATTGCTATCGATCCCCTCACACGCTGCGATCAGCATTGCCTAATTTTCAGTTAATCATCATCTCTATTTACCTTAGTTCTTGTCAAATTTTATCAGTCTAGAATAGTCCTGAACTCTGGTTCATTTCGAGGACCATAATAAACGAAAATTCTCCTTGCCAGTGGCCCTCCCAGCATGGGTTCAAATGATACCGAGTGGGAGCTGGAGGAAGGCATCCCTCAAGTGGAGGAACCCTTCATCCAGCAGTATCTGAAGGGTCGTGATGCACTGGTCCTCGAAGAACAGAAGCAACGTCATGGTTAGATTTCCAATTTCTATATGAGCTTCAATTCCAAAGAGTTAATATCGCCAGCATAGATGCCAATCTCCGCAAGGCCCTTTCCCCGCTGGCCGCCAGAGCATGCAAGATCGTGTCCAAGGTCCGCGCTCGTGAGCTCGAGACAGTGTGGTCCAAGGGGTGGACACAGGAGCAAGCTCACGGAGCCGATGAGATTCTCTACCCGGGGGTGATGTTCCATCTGGCAAGGGGTCGGATGGAAAACACCGACTTGTGGAAAATCGTGCAGAAGATGCCCAAAGGGTCCCTCTTACATGCTCATATGGATGCCATGTTCGATATCGATTTTCTGATCGAACAGGCCTTTTCTACCCCAGGAATGCACATATCTGCTCCACAACCGCTCATTACCGCGAAGGAGCTTGAGGAAGCACCGTTCTACCTCCGGTTTTCGTCTCAGCCATTGGAGGAATCAGAGGACAAACCTACAATGTGGATGTCTTCCTACGAGTCTTCAAGACTGATATCTCTGCAAAAGGCAGCCTCGTCATTTCCCAAGGGTGGAGAGGCCGGTTTCCGCGAGTGGCTAAAGAGCCGTTGTGTTCTCGGGCCCGAACATTCCTACCTTCACCATCACGGAGTCGACGCCATCTGGGACATCTTCCGACGCACGTTCCCAGTCATCAACTCCATTCTGAACTACGAGCCAATCTTCCGCGCATGCCTGCGCCGCATGTTCGAACAGCTCGCCAATGACGGAATCAGATACGTGGACTTTCGCATCGCTTTTGTCTTCGAGTACCGACGGGAAGGACGCGATACGCCAGAGGAAGGCTACTTCGAGTGGTGCCGTGTCTTCAAGGAAGAACTCGAACACTTCAAGAACACCGAACAAGGCCGACGATTCTACGGCGCCCGCATCATCTGGACCACACTCCGCAATTTCCCCAACAAAGACATGGCAGCCAGCATGAAGCAATGCATCGAGACGAAACTCGCCTTCCCAGACGTGATTTGCGGGTTTGACGTCGTCGGACAGGAAGACCAGGGCCGGCCGCTGGTCGACCTCGTGCCGGTGCTCTTCTGGTTCCGCAAACGCTGCGTCGAGGAAGGCGTGACCATCCCCTTCTTCTTCCACGCGGGCGAGTGCCTCGGCGACGGTGACGCGACAGACCACAACCTCTTCGACGCAATCTTACTCGGCACCCGGCGCATCGGACACGGCTTCTCCCTCTACAAACACCCCCTCCTCATTGACCTCGTGAAGGAAAAGAAGATCCTCATTGAATGCTGCCCCATCTCAAACGAGATCCTCCGCCTCACAAGCTCCATCAAATCGCACCCGCTCCCCGCCCTGCTGGCCCGCGGCGTGTCCGTCTCCCTCTGCAACGACGACCCGGCCATCCTCGGCCAGGGTAAGAACGGTCTAACGCACGACTTCTGGCAGGCGCTGCAGGGCCTTGAAAATATGGGTCTCACAGGCCTCGCCATGATGGTGGAGAACTCCATCCGGTGGAGCTGTTATGAGGATCAATCAAATGCCGAGTGGGCCTCTGACATTGAAGATGGGATTCTAGGCGATGGGCTGAAGGCCGCCCGTCTGCGGGAATGGTATGAAGATTTCCAGGCTTTTTGCGAGTGGATCGTTGCGGAGTTTAAGGATGTAGAGGTCGACGAGTAAGATAAAAGTTTAGACTTTGTGTTTAATAGGCGCTCTACCGGGGTATCATGAATATGCACTCAGAGCTTTCAGTACCTTTCCTCCAAACGCAGGGTACGGCAACGAACAATAGCTCAGAGTATGAGCAAGCTTGTTATTATCATGTTTCGCGATCTGGGGTAGACAGTGCAGTGTCGTCCTGGATGTAGTATACCTCCGACCAATCAACCGTCCTAGCGTTTGGTTGATGTTCAATATGGGGAATCTCAAGCATATGCTCAGGTATAAAACTCCAATTCGAAAGATAGAAAATTGATCCAAAAGGACACAAAAAAGAAAATCAGGGTATGTATTTCCGGAGACACAAGTTCCTCTGTACTGTGGAACTGTGGTCCACATTATCCAAAGAAGAAAAATGTCCAAAGCAACGCACGAACTCCAGACCCAATGTACCAATATGCAGTGAACCTGCGCCCGGAGCCGGAAGGGCCCTAGGGATAGATAAGACGCCAAAGAAACAATGCACCGACCCTCCGATCATGCAATGCAGAAACCAAGCCTTGGTCTCTCCTGAAATAGAGAAAACGCCGTGAACATAGCCTAGTTGTCCGTATGCTTCACTCGAGATCTTCGATATCGCGGTGCCGTGCGAGGACATGGCGCTTGTATTCTTCCTTGTCTGTATCCCAGAGCTCAGCTGCTTGGGCGTTTAGAGGGCTCGCGCTATCTGCCAGTTAGCATCAACGTGA